AACTATTATGACGTGGACATGGAAAAAGTAAGAGAGAGTAGTCACTAGCTACTAACAAATAGCTTATCTATTTCACGTAGCCCAAGATCATGTGAGAGAGGTATGTGGGTCCAATAGTGTAAAATAGTTATTTTTCTTATCTCTCACATCCACGTCAGCTAACCATATAGCTAGTAAGAGCACCCACAATGCTTTGGGTCTCTTAGAAAAAAGTTACATGCCATGTAAGAAATAGACCTAGTCTATAAAAAAGTGTTCTCCAATGCAATTAAATGTAGACCTAGTCTAGCTTATGTGGCAATAAAAAAATGAGACCTAGTCCACACTTGGGTCTATTTTAGACCCAAGTACAAACCCAAGCACTCATCATTTATTCCTCATTTAGTTTTTCTTTTAATAAATGAAATATATTAGAGCATTTTTATTGGTTGTCATGTATTCTAGACCTAGTACTTTTTTGTTTTGCATTGGATAGATTTTAGATTTTTTAATTTGGGTTTGTCCATATCATTATGGACTTAAGTCTATTTATTTGCCACATGTGCAAAAAGAGACCCAAAGCATTGTGGATGCTCTAATAGCTATTACCATTGGAGATGCCCCATAGACTATTTACTCAATCCATCCTTTATAAATTCTATTTTATCTTCTTGAATTTTGGACGTGAACCCCACATATTTTCATTGTGTTTAAGTTTTAACAAATCCACCGAACACATTTGAAACACTCACCTACTCTTTTTGCTTCTCATTTCTTTGTAAAAGTACTTTTATCCATATCTAGTATATACTTTCATGAATTTAAAAACTCTCCAGATAACTCTGAACTTATGCTTCAATCAACCATAGAACATAATAATCTAGGTGGTGAGTTGCTTACTCAAGAGGGGACAAACAACCCAGAAGGAAAACGAGAAAACACACCAAAAATCTCATCACTGTCAGTCCAACCAAAAATTTTGGGACACCGACAATTTCGGTATCCACCATTTTTCACCTCAAAAGTTAGTTATCGTCATGCTTTGGTCACACTGTTCTACACCCAGATAATGAATAATTAAACATAATAAGTTACAAGTAAAAATGTAAGTGAAGTGACAAAAAAAAAAAAAAAAAAAAAAAAAAAAAAAAAAAAAAAAAAAAAAAAAAAAAAAAAAAAAAAAAAAATCTAACTAATTGACGAAGTTCCATCAGACTAAAAAAATTACAGAAGGGTATATAAAATACTCCACCAAGCAAACCAAAACCTTTACTTTTAATCCTTAGAATGACGCCTACGGTTAGGCCAAATCTTGCGTCTCCAGGTTTTCGGGAATGGATCCACCCAATTTTTATCCTCCTTAACCGCTCTTTCCCATCGTTCCTTGAACTTTTTCAGTTCTATTGATGACTGCCTTCTGATCTGCAGATCCCCCAATCCATACAACATTACTACAACATTTCATGTTAATAATGCTACGTTCATTATTAAATTTATCCATATGCGTTTTTAGTTACCAAAAAAACGGTGCTGAAAGCTCAAAGGGAAATTTATTCGTATGCTTTTTTAGTTACGAAAAAACCGGTGCTGAAAGTATATAGATACAGCTGTTTTACCTCTGTTCTGACATCAATGACGTGACTCTGTACAAGGGGCAAATACAATAAGCACCTATCATTAGTAATTTCACTAGTAACAAAATTGATTTGCGTAGCAATTGAAACTTAAGATCGAATGGTTTTACCTTAGCAGTCTCTTCACGATTCGGTACCTACACAGATATCAAATATCACAGACTCAACTAGATGTCATAAAATGAAGATTCACAATCCATCAGATTCAATTTTGGTCTGCCCAGTGACCACAATTCCAATCATTTTTAGATGGCAAACGCTTATGGTCAAAACCGACGTAACGTGCAGAACAAAATTATCCTCTTTCTTACAACATGAGAATTAATAAGCACAGATTTTTTTCCAATCAAAGAACTATTTAAGGACATAATTGAAGGTTCACTTTTTAGTTTGCTGACCTTTGTAGCAGATGCCCCACCCAATGTTTGTATACTCTGATGAACAACATATTCGCTATCAACTACTCCCACTTTTTTTGTGCGATCCCCCTACAATGGTCCAAGTCCAGAAAAAAAGGCAAGATATATTTAAGTTAAAAATTAAGGAGAATAAAAATATGATCACCTCAAATATTGCTTTTCCAGTTCATAAATGATATTCATTTATCAGTTCCACTTTGTAATGAATGCATCCCAAGGGACCAGAGAAAAGGAAAGATTCCGTTTGTGTGGCAAGAATGAGGAGCTGTGAACTTGCCATGGCAGGTGAAATAAAATATAATTTGAATATTTAAAAGTGATGCAGAACTTAACTGCTCATATCATGAAAAGTTGGTAAACAAAAACAAATTTTAGCAGTTTTTGAATTCAAACTCATTGACTACTTCGTAATATAATCGAGTTTACCTGTGCACAATAGCCAAGTTTCATGTCCATTCCCCATCCATGAACGAGATCATTCTGAGAACAAGAAAAATAACTCCCTATGAGATTTTATCCTCGGAAAAATAACGGGGATTGCAAGAAATGGATTTTGCTGTTTTCATCCTTTCTAAATTGAATGAAATTTCATTGACACCTCAATGAAGTGTAATGAGCCTATGCAGATTAGAACAATTAACCAAGACTATTAGGCTGCTATGTACTTTGTTGCAAATCTGCTCAATAAAATTCGGACCTTCTTCAAAACAAGTTTGTTTGTTACCTTGTTACTCAAAGAAAAGAAATTCTCTACAAAAACACAAAAGGAAAAAGGTACCTGGATTAAATGCCAGGCACAATGCCATGCCGATCTTGAAAATACTGGAGCCATACCTTCCACAAAACTGCAAACCTCTCAAGGATAAACAGGATTTCTATGGATCGGGGAAAATATTTTATGACTTTGCACATGGCATTGCTAAGGATACTAGGGCAATTCAAGCAGTTTCTTATTTGTATGCTGGTGTGCATCAAGTACTTTGTGAAAGAATTGGCCATTGTTCGGTTATTTTTATACTCAGAAAACATCTCCCAATAAAATCAAACTATATATGTGAAATCTTACATTGGGAAGCCATGTTAAAGCTTACACTATAATGATAACTGGAATTGACGAAAAATCGATCTACAACATTATCGTATATATGCATGATAATATGGGAATTACATGTTTCTGGTGAATCAGAAGTTTGTGAGAAGTAAATGAACTATGATATATTAAACAAAAGTCGAAGGTTGAGGTTATGAGATAATTTGGAACCAAAACTGCACACCAGATCAAAATTAAGCAATAAGAAGATTTTTAAAGTGAGGAAAAATTACCCACTGCATGGCGGCCCCTCACTGTCATCTGAGCACCTTATACTACCTCTGTCATCATACACTCTTCTGCTTAAATCAGATTATGTAAATACCAACACCATAAATATAACGAAGAAGTTGAATTGCATAGACTTTCTAGAAAACAAACTCACCTATGGAATTTTTTCACTCTATTTCTTACTGTGATTCTGTGATGTATACCGGTTGAATTTGGGTCCAAAGCTGGCTGAGATATTTCAAGTCCTTCTGATTTCACAATATCCAAATACCTGAAGAAGGAGGAAAAAAAATTACAGAAAGGTCATCATAAGGTACTCTGAGATTCATGATAGGTTGAGACCACATATTAAGAGGTCAGTGTTAAAACTTTGTTTGCTCGATTAGAGAAAATGTAGAAAAAGATATTGCAGTTAACTTCTATGTTTAGTTTTTAGATAGAAGAAAAAAACATAGCAATACCTTCCAGGGTGGAAATGGTTCACCCCCAAATCTTCATCCCACAAGAATATATAATCATAAATAGAAACAACTGCTGGATGCAAGAAGCGTTTGGCAAACCACCTGAACATTAAAGAGGATAATGGCGACCAATTAAACATCACAGTACAATACAAATATACAACCTTAGAATACAAGTATACAACCTTAGATGCTCAGACAGAAAAGTGAAATTGAAATGTTGAGGTTCTAAAGGAAAATACAAATAAAGCTACCGTTTGGTAAGTCCACAAGAACTACATAACAAGTCAACATTGAAATATGTAGCTGAGGAGTGATCATGGCCACAATAACATTTACTTCTTTGTCTGTAATATGTATTTATACAAAGCTATAAGTTATAATATATGATTTCCTGTTAGTTACAATACACGGATGGCTAATGGAGGAGCACCATACTGACGCACGATCAGATGATTACACTTAACCAATATTTTGGATAAGGTGAATTGTACTACAGACATGGATGTGAATCATCAATTTCAAGGCTTTACCACTTTGTTTGGTTGTGAGCAACTATATGTACGGCTCTTGTACTCCACCCCAGGTCCCACCACCCATCCAAGTTGCCATCGTAGTGAAACAAAATTATTGTGAAATTTTTTGAAAGAAACTGAATACAAAAGAATGATGTAGTGAATGTGAATAGCAGTTAAATTGAAATATCACAGAATCTCCCAAAATATTTAAAAAATTAAGACCGCCATACCTTTCGAACAACAGTATCTACGTTCTTCTTTTGCTTAATTCCAACAGGCATTGCTAGCAAATTACAAGACCTATGTGCACTGGCCTGAAAATTAAAAGGAACACATGATCACCGAGTACAAAAACTTCATTTTTTAGCAGATGACGAACACACAACTGAAATTCTTGAAAATGTACATAAAATCAGTGAACCAAAATTAGAACATTAACAGATGGTATTGATCAGATTAAGATAAATGCATTTAGACTCTTCAGCTGGCATTAAAGGTTACCTTTGACCTGGAGCTGCTTGCTGTCCACAAAGGCTTTAGCTCCAGGTCTGTCCTTGCTTCGATGATGCCATGAGGCAAGCTATCTAAACTTCTAGAATCCACTCCTGAGTCCTAGACCAGACCACCAATTTTACTCAATAATAAAATAAATAGTTTACGTGTAAAATAACTTAAATAAAAAGAACAACAAAGCAAGAGAGACAAGAAATGTGAACGGGAGAGGCTCTAACCCAATAAATACCTTTGATGTGTAAAAGGGGTACAATCTTGATTCCATCTGATAAAAGGGCAGCAGAAAATAGAAGTCATTGTAGTGAATAAAACATCAAAAGAAAAGAAGAGGACTTCAGCTTCAAAATCTTTTTGAGACAAGATAAGATCACATGGGTCACTAGTCCAACATTTAGGTGAAAACAATCAACGGCTGAACAAACTGTAACACACCTCTGTTTGTTGATATTGATACTTTGTGGTCCTATATATAATGAACAACATCACTGTACAGACAACTCCCATAAACGGCAGCTGATTCATCTTTGCTCCAAGTACTCTCTGCAATTCCAATTATAAGTTAGAACACCCTCACACCTCACAGGTGACATCTTCTTAGTTTGAATTATTCATGGTCAACCAAAAGCATCATCAATGAACAATCTCATGATTTGACTCAGAAGTTAAACAAAAGGGAATAACAAGGACAGCCACATACACTATCAAAAACAAAATGTTGTTTCTTCATCAGCTACCTCCATAACCGGGGTCCGGGGAGCTTTAATAGGCAATCATCGGCTTTTTTAGAGCCACCCGTGCCTGCAATAAATATCTGATATTATCATTAAACTACAGATGCATCTCAGCAAAAAGACAGAATAGCAACGAGGTCCACCAATGCACGATTCAATTTAACAAAATAAGAATCTCATCCGCCTATGCACAGGATCAGATTTATTATTTCTCACAAATCATAACCACTTTATGAGAAACGAAATTTAATCACACATATATCTCACACATAGAAAAGCCCGAGTACAAGCTTCAGCACCTCATACACCTTTGCTGGGAAATGAAAAGATTTCTACTAATGTGCCACAAGATGTCAATTTACCACTCACAATCCACGATAGGAAATGAGATTTTGCGAGACACTCAATCCCGTTACCCAATCTCTATATTTCTAAAATGCATGTCAGAACACATGATAAGGAGGATGATTGTAACATACAGGTCTAATCTAATGAATTGCTAATAATTCAATTCTTCGTAGTAGAACGTAATTTTTCGATCCAAGATTTCACAAATAGAGCATAGAATGTCAAACTGATTGCACTTCAAACCGAGTACACAAGTTAAAATTTTTATTCACATATAATATTAGACAATTCTTTCTTTTTTTCCAAGAGATACAGTGAAAACATTTTGGTCATGCGTTTTATGCAGCAAATAGTCAAAATCTCCTGTCTCTTTGTCATGCTTTCCCTGAGTGATACCATGAATGATATCTACAAAAATCACAAACTTGCGCCATTATCGGGAGAAAACTGAACTAACTGGCATATTGGACCTTAAAAAAACTACTATTAGCTGCCTTTTTTTCTCCTCTGTCTTCATCTTCCACCATTTTCATCAGGCTAACACACAGACCCACTTTATCCGGAAGGAACAAATTAACAAGTAAAGTAAAAAAGCAATGTTTTTTCACGAACTAGAAAGAACAAAACATCAATCTAAAGCATATGTATTCATAAACGAGTCATCTCGGACAGGATAGCGATTCATTACTCGCTTTTCGAGTCCTGTGCACCGACGAGAGAGAGAGAGAGAGAGAGAGAGAGAGAGAGAGAGAGAGAGAGAGACGAAAATCCAAGAAAAAAAATAAAGATGAAAAACTCAAAAGCCATACCAATCGCAGCCAAAGATTCGAACAATCCGATTCGAACAAGTTGAGCTCAAAGATTAAATCTCCAGCTGAAACCAAGCTCCAGATAAATCTTGTATTCGTATCACTTCACAGGCAGAGACATAATAATAAATAAAACAAATAAATTTTTTATTAAGGAAGAAAAAAAAGGTAAAGATACAAGAAACTCTGTATGTCGAACTGTGTGTGTGAGAAAAGTGAGTGTGCGCACCAAAAGGTCCAAAACCCACCAGCATTTAACTACTGTAATTAAAGATATGATGATTTTGTTTAGATTAATGATGTTTCAACATAGCCATTGATGACATGTAAACGAAGTATAAGCAAGCACTATGACACTATAACCCTATGTGATACTATTACCTTTGTTTACCAATATGACACTCACCAATATTTTCAATTGATGATATTTTAAGTTGGTTTTAATAATAGTATGACAACTTAATTAGAGTGTATGCATACATATTTGAATGTTTAGGGCTTGATTGTTTATGAAATAATTTGTTTAAAGTTAGTTATTTTGGTTTACCATAGTTAATTTTAAGTGAAAATATCTATTTTCACCCCGTTTTGAAGTATTGTTAAGTTTTTCACACTGCCCAATAAAAAGCTAAGTTTTTCACTCCAGAAAGTGCGAAGGTTATGCGAAAACTATCGCATATTCATCGCATAACTGTCCGTATGCGAAGGTTATGCGAAAAACTGTCGCATACTATCGCATATCAATTGCATAATTGTGCGAAGGTTATGCGAAAAACGGTCACATAACTGTCGCATATCAATTGCATAACTGTGCTAAGGCTTTGTGCGATGAATATGCGACAATTATGCAATTGATATGCGACAGTTATGCGATAGTTTTTCGCATAACCTTTGCATACGGATAGTTATGCGATGAATATGCGACAGTTTTTGCATAACCTTCGCACTTTCTGGGGTGAAAAATTTATGGGCGGTGTGAAAAACTTAATTTGTCTTTGTTATGGGGTGAAAAAGATTTTTTCCCTAATTTTAAAAAGGTATTATGGTTAGTTGTCAGTGGAATTTTAAGAATGTGTTAAAATAATATATAAAATAAAATAATTAAAATTGATTTGATGTAAAAGTAAAAGATAAATGATTGGAAATGATAAGTAGTTAAAAATAAGGTGTTGATATTTGCCGCCCCCCTTTTCGATTATTACCGCCCCCTAAAAGTCGTTTTTGCCCTTTTTAATAAAAAAAATATATATTCATTATTCACTTTACACATTTTTTCTCCCGGTTCCGGACTTCGAAAAAT